GACCAACTGTGTCCTGTTTCCTTGTCAAACTTCATGAAAATCGTTTATTTTTATTTATTTATTTATTTATTTATTTATTTATTTATTTATTTATTTATTTATTTATTTATTTATTTATACAAGAAGGAACATTGGGTTTGTGAGATTACATAACATTGATGTACTTGTAAAGCCACCAACACACACAGTCGTTCGGGTGTACTCACCTAGTAGTGTTTGCGGTGGTTGACAACTGTTATCAGTCCCGCCTCTCAACTGTCAATCAACTGGTGTACAGGTTCCTGAGCCTACTGGGCTCTATCATATCTGCACTTGAAACTGTGTATGGAGTCAGCCTCCACTACATCACTGCCTAATGCATTCCACTTGTTAACTACTCTGACACTGAAAAAGTTCTTTATTTATTTATTTATTTATTTATTTATTTATTTATTTATTTATTTATTTATTTATTTATTTATTTATTTATATATATACAAGAAGGTACATTGGGTTTGTGAGAATACATTGGATAGTACAGTAATTACATTCTTGTAAAGCCACTAGTACGCGCAGCGTTTCGGGCAGGTCCTTAATCTAGCAGATAATTTTAAGTAGGTAATTTCAATCAGAATTGATAAATGAAAGATACATTACAAGAGAAAAATGAGATGAGAGAGATAAGTAAGTATATTAAAGCACATTGTTATATTAAAGCTCTGACTGATTACATTGACAGCTTGATTAGTAATTTAAACAAGATTAATAGACACCATACAGCAGATTGACAGCACATATAAGACAGCAATGATCACAAGCGTAAAGATGTTCAGAATGGGTACATAAAGATTGGGAGACTGGGTAGCAAAAGATACAGATAAACAAGATTTATAAACACCATACAATAGAATGGCAACACATATAAGAAAACAGCAATGATCTCAATGGTAGAGATGTTCAGATTGGGAACAAAAAGGTTGGGAGATTGGGTAGCAATAGATACAGTGCAATTTTAAGGCAAAAAGAGAAAAACTATGAAGATGAGATTAGGTACTTTTTAGTATTGATTTTGAATGATGTAAAAGTTGGACAGCTTTTCAATTCAGTAGGGAGTGAGTTCCATAAACTGGGTCCCTTTATTTGCATAGAGTGTTTACACAAATTAAGTTTAACTCTGGGGATATCGAAGAGATATTTATTTCTGGTGTGGTGATAATGGGTCCTATTACATCTGTCCAGGAAGAGTTTCAGACAAGGATTTGCATTTAAGAATAGGGTTTTGTAAATGTAGTTGACACAAGAGAATTTGTGGAGTGAGATTATGTTTAGCATGTTTAGGGAGTTAAACAAGGGGGCTGTGTGTTGTCTGAAAGCAGAATTTGATATTATTCTGATAGCAGATTTTTGCTGGGTGATGATGGACTTGAGGTGGTTTGCAGTGGTTGAACCCCATGCACAGATACCATAGTTGAGATAGGGATAGATTAGTGCATAATATAGAGAGATGAGAGCAGAGTTAGGAACATAATATCTGATTTTGGAGAGTATACCAACTGTTTTAGAGACTTTCTTAGTTATGTGTTGTATGTGGGTACTGAAGTTGAGTCTCTTGTCTAGGAATATGCCAAGAAACTTTCCATCATTTTTATTGCTAATGTTTACATTGTCAATCTGAAGCTGAATTGCATTTGTAGATTTGCTTCCAAATAGGATGTAGTAGGTCTTTTCTATGTTAAGTGTTAGTTTGTTGGTTGACATCCATAAGTGGACTTTTTTTAGTTCATTATTAACAACATCATTTAGTGTATGTGGGTTGGGGTTGGAGTAAATGAGGGTAGTATCATCAGCAAACAAAATAGGTTTCAGAATGTTAGAGACATTAGGCAGATCATTAATGTATATAAGAAATAGTAGGGGTCCCAAGACGCTGCCCTGAGGCACTCCAACGGTTATTGGTAGAATGGGAGAGATTATATTATTGATGGCTACACATTGGTGTCTATCACTAAGATAGGATTGGATATAGTCCAGTGCATGGCCTCGGATTCCATAATGATGGAGTTTACATAAGAGGTAATCGTGATTAACAGTATCAAAGGCCTTTCTCAGGTCAATGAAGAGTCCAATTGGAAACTCATTTTTGTCAAGGGCAGAGTAAATAATATCAAGGAGACTAATAATTGCATCGTTGGTACTCTTTTGAGAGCGGAAGCCAAACTGACAGGGGCTAAGAATGTCGAATTTTACGAGATAGGAGTAGAGCTGTTTGTAGATAATTTTTTCAAATATTTTTGATAGTATGGGTAGGTTCGATATTGGTCTGTAGTTGTTTATGTCTGACGGATTACCTCCTTTATGAACTGGCGTTACTCTTGCGTTTTTAAGGATATCAGGGAAGGTATGACACTCAAGGGATTTGTTGAACAGCAGAGCTATAGGTGGTGCAAGGGCATGGGAGGCGCTCTTGTATACAATGGATGGGATTTCACTGATGTTCCCAGCTTTGGTTTTTAGTGAGTGTATGATGGACACAACATCTGACGGGCTGACTGGTGAGAGGAGAAGAGAGTTTGGATAGCTGCCTGAGAGATATGTGTTGATATGTGTCTGAGTCTGTGGGATTTTACTTGCAAGGTTAGCACCAATCGATGAAAAGAAGCTATTCAATTCATTCGCCATTTCTAAGTCAGATGACAGTGTAAGGCCATCCTTAGAGAGTGTTATCTGGTTGTGGGTATCTTTCTAACGTCCCTGTGGCTCATGTGGGTACTTAGTCTCCACCTGTGTCCCCTTGTTCGCGTACCACCCGTGTTAAACAGTTTACCTTTATCTACACTGTCAGTTCCTCTGAGAGTTTTGTAGGTTGTGATCATGTCTCCCCCGAGCTCTTCTGTCTTTCAATGTTGTGAGGTGCAATTCACGCAGCCTTTCCTCGTAACTCATGTCTCTTAGTTCTGGGACTAGCCTAGTGGCATACCTCTGAACTTTTTCCAGCTTTGTCTTGTGCTTGACAAAGTGTGGGGATACATGCGATATTTCTTAAAGCATTCCATTTATGTCCGACCTCTAACCTTTTCCACCACCACCCACAGGATAAATATAGGGTGCATAATATATGAACTAAACTGAACATCTCTGAAAATAAGGGCAAAACAACTTGAGAAACTCACTGGCTTCCAATTGTAGAGTGCATATGCAATATTTTAGAAATCTGTAATATTGTTTCCAGTGAAATATAATCTATGTAAATAAAAAGCGAAATGTTTGTTTGTTCAAAACCGCTAATCTCCGAACGTTCTTCACCGATTGTTTTGAAATTTTCACACAACGTTCCATTCGCATCCGAGCGGGTTTGTATATACATACTATATTGATGTCACGTCTGTGACGGAAAAAAAACATGTTTTTTTGAAAAACTGTGTTTTTCATGCGAGAGAACTCTTCGAAACCTCTTTACCGATTGCTTTGAAATTTTGACACCACGTTGCATTCGAATAGGCACGTGTTTTTATATACCTACTATATACATGCCTTACCTGTGACAGGAAAATACATGCTCGTTTTTAAAAAACAGCGCCAACTGTTGGACGTAAGAGCAACATATCATATAATCTCCCAAAGTTCTTCACCAATTGCTTTGAAATTCTGACACAACGTTCCATTCGAATATGCACGTGTTTTTATATACGTACTACATAGATGCTACACCTGTGACAGATAAAAACATGTTTTTTTTTTTTTTTAAACAGCGCCATCTGTTGCACGTAATAGCAACACACACACGCAATATTAAATATGTTACGAATTCCATTTCAATGTTTCGATTGCATTGATGAATTTAATTTTCATAGATTTCGATTTATTTTAATTTTTATTTAATTATTTTGTGTGACATTGTGTTGGAATTGAGTTAGTTTAGTTCATTTATTATGCACCCCATACCCATCTTGTGGGCGGAAGTGGAAAGGGTTACAGAGGCACATAGTGGGCTCAGGGACTGAACTCCACAATTCATTTAGCTAAGCAAGTTACAATCTTGATGAGCTAGTTACAAAATTCCATATAAGTCGTCACATCAACAATGGGTTTTACAGGCTATTGATGCCCGTGCCACCTCTTGGGTGGCTTAATCTTCATCAATCAATCAACAATGGGTTCGAGATCGACCACAAGTACAGTTTCTAAATTAAGCAACTGACATATGTGGAGAGCTAGTGTCACAATTTATATGTTTGTCCTGCACACCGCCCCCCCCCCCCATCCAATGGGCAGCGGTGGATAGGTTACAATCACTCAGTTACTACCTACAGTTAGCAAACTGGGGATATTTGGCTAAAATTTCTGGTAGCAGATCATTTTGAATGAAATATTTACATATCGCTGGAACATTGGTTATAGAATTGTCTCTAAATTCACGTATCTTTTCGCACTCCATCACATAGTGACGGAGGGTGTGCGAATAATTTTGTTGACAGTTTACATTTGGTCAGGTCTACATCAGCAGATAATGAGAATTCCCAGAGATACTTGTAACCGAGTCTAAGCCGAGCAGTAGTAACATCTAGAAGTCTGCTGATTTTATTGGAAGAACCATTGATGTGTGGCTCCTCTTGCATGATAATATGATGATAGATGGAATTACTGGTGTCAATTTCACTTTGCCTCAGATCTACAAGATTTTGTTGAAGTTCTCGGTGTACTGCTGCTCTCAGATTGCTCATTGACAATCCAAGGTTGCACTCAACGGCTTCTTTAAAGGCAGATTCTTTGGCTAACTTATCAGCTCTATCATGCATTCGGAGGCAACATGAGATGGAGACCACATGAAATGGACTGTTACCATCATTAATAATGCTGTTGTATTTGTGTCTAGCTTCAGACACGAGCATGTTACAGTTATGTCTTAAAGAGTTGAGAGCAATTAAGGATGATAAAGATTCACTTACAAGACAGGGAGAAAGAAATAATGTGGAGACGTGGCACCACTGTTGGGTCGTCATGGCAACGGGAACGCTGAGAGCGCGAGTACCTGCACACAGCTGGTGCGTCCATACACTCCCTTCACACTCACTTTGTTTACCTTACACACTTATCTGTCTGCAGCAATAACAGGCGCAACAACACAAATGAACATCCATCGGACTTAATTTTAGCGAGAGGTGAGGATAAAGATATACAATTTCAGTTAAAGCTAGTTTGTTGATGCTAAAATATATCAAATTCTAATCTAAATTGCTCACGGTATGTATTTGCTGTAATGTGCCAAGCAGTACAATATAATTTTATTTGTTATCATACAAGTTAGCTGAAGCTGCTGAATATATGAGCAGGAAGGAAGTAATGTTGGATATTCTAATGTGTGTGGATATTCTGTCATGGCCTTGATCACGTCATATAAAATATGGCCTTCGTACGACCTTTTGTCATATGAAGGCCATATTTTACTTAGCAAAAGTTTCATAAGGCCGCACACTGTATTATGTCTTGTTTAGCAGTCTCCGTGGCGAAGTGGTAACACACTTGCCTGGCGTTTCGCAAGCTCTTTGGCCTGGGTTCGTATCGTGGCTGCAGGGGATCCTGGGTATCGTATTTTGGGTATAGCCTCTGTTCACCCAGCAGTGAATGGGTACCTGGTTGTTAAACGATTTGGCGGGTCGTATTTCGGGGAAAATTAAGATTAATTAAGGACCTGCCCGACACGCCATGCATACACACATGTGTGTGTGAGTATGTATGTTCTATACACTCAAACATGTCACTAACAAACGTCAACGAATACAACTGATAAAGTGTTTCATTAATTTAAGGAAAAAGTGCTGTGTTGGCTATATTTACATTCAACAATAAAGAATTATAAAGACACCGAGGGGAAGGAATTCGGTTGTTAATTTTTGCAAATAATCTGAGGAAAGTTTTTCGATTTTACGGTTTGACTTCTGCAAGATGTCAATTGTTATGAGTGGACCCAAGCTGGTACTTGACGGACAAGTGTGACAGTGCTTCGTATGTCTCGCCCTCCATTGTCACGGTATATGTCGCTTACTTCACTGCTGTTTGTCAGCTTATTTCTGGTGGTGATTGTGTGTACAAATGATGTGTTCTTGATGGATCCTTAATTGTTATTTGTGTTGACCATACCACACACTAGAAGGTGAAGGGACGACGACGTTTCGGTACATCCTGGATCATTCTCAAGTTGATTGTCCCTTCACCTTTAATACATTCTTCAACTACGTTATTGTGACTCATCGCCTGCTTGCTATCTGTACATTGTCAGGCTCCTTTGATGAATACGCTGACGAATATATCATTTACATGACTTAATGAAGCGGCCAACACTATAGAATCTGTTCCCATCTATTAAACTATTCTACAGGAACTTTTTAATAGCCCACGAAACGGAGCAAAGAGTCATTTAAGACATCGATGTTAGAAACGTTATCCCTTCGTTCACTAACCAGAAGATAGAATTAACAGTTTACCACAAGAGCAAGAAAACTGTTAGCTTGCTCATGAGGAACTCTCCCCACACCAAGTGAAACGCTGTGAAAGAGGCGACTGTCATCTATAATTTTACATGCCCGCTTACGGACTGTCAGCTCCAATGATCCCAATATTTAGGCAAGACAACAACAACATATTTTTCAAGGCGCCTGGTAAATAAAAAGTCTCCTAAAAGAACCCATAATTGCAACACTCACAATCAGACTAGGATATCACCAGCTAGGATATCACCAGCGATATCCTAGCTGGCTAACAGTAACGAAATAATCGACAAATACAACGGCAATAAAAGATTAGACATCGGCAGAGCACAAAATATCAGAGAAAGTCAAGAGTCAAGAGTCAGTTCACTCTTAGGTACACCCGGCCAACAGTCCTGAAGAGCATGACAGAAGATCTAGCTCACATCTCACCACAAGATAACATTGACTTGTTAACAACTAATTCACTCCATCCTTCATGGTTACATTATGTAGCTTCAGGTAATTTGTATCCACTTTACTGCTGCCTCCGACGATGTTGACAAAGTCAACGAAACATCTTCAAGAGGAAACTAGATTTATTCCTCCAAGGAGTGCCGGACCAACCGGGCTATGGTGGGTATGTGGGCCTGCGGGCCGCTCCAAGCAACAGCCTGGTGGACCAAACTCTCACAAGTCAAGCCTGGCCTCGGGCCGGGCTTGGGGAGTAAAAGAACTCCCAGAACCCCATCAACCAGGTATCAACCAGGAAACATCCTTTAGCGTCAGGCCAAAATCTAAAATTAACGTCGGAGAGTTCATTTTTCAACGTCTTTCTCAAGTGAAGAACCTAAGAAATATAGAGAGGATTTGTGGTAGAATCATTAATAATAATAATAATAATAATAATAATAATACCTAATTTTGTCGGGGGACAGGTACCTGTTTGCATATACATACTATAAGCTTATATCGATGTCTCCTCCTCCCCACAAGGTCGAATTACTAACCATCTCCAGGTTAGTAATTTGTAAAAACTTCACAACAGTTGACTAACTCCCAGGTATTTCATAACTAGCAGGTGAACAGAGGCATTAGGTGACAGGAAACGTGACGAACCATTTCTATTCCGGCCGGGATCTCTATAACCCTTTGCTATCATGTTCAATATAGCCAGGGCTCCATGTAGGCAGAAATCATATAATTTGCGTTAAAACTTGATGTAGCTGTCCGATGATATCTGTTCTTCAGGGCTCCGTGGCTGGCTAGTCATGACGGAGGCGCAGACGGACTGGCTGGCATGCGGTGCGCGTCGGTGCAAGGCGCAGCGGGTAGCAGAGACTCTGGCGGCCAGGACGGCGCAGTACTCCGCCCTCCTCTGCCTCAGGCGCTCCAGGTAGGCACCCAGGAAAGGGGAGGTGGTGCAGGGATGGTAGTGGGGGATAGACGGAGGAGGTGTTGCATGGGGGGGAAGGGATGCAGGAGAGAGAGGGAGGATCGGGAAAAGGGAGGCTATGGGGGAGTGGTGCGAGGGGGAAGGGTTTAGGGAACAACCGTGGACATCTTCAAGAGGAAACTAGATTGTTTCCTCCAAGGAGTGCCGGACCAATCGGGCTGTGGTGGGTATGTGGGCCTGCGGGCCGTTCCAAGCAACAGCCTGGTGGACCAAACTCTCACAAATCGAGCCTGGCCTCGGGCCGGGCTTGGGGGAGTAGAACTCCCAGAACCCCATCAAGCAGGTATCGGGGAAAGAAAAGTCTACGGAGAACGGAATTCAGAGACAGTGCAGAAGAAAGCAATCTCACAGATTTCAGAGGCGAGGAAACCTCCAACATAAACACAGAACTAAACAAATGGCTACACATCACATATAAACACATGAACGAACACATCCCTATAGCTCAACACATCTCTGGTGGAATGGTATGGTATCTGGTGGAAGTAGAGATAACCTATCCAAGGATAGGATCAGAATGAACAAGACTGGCTTACTGAAGTGGTAACTATGATGAGACGAGGAACTTCCTAATGGGAATACCATGAGAAACAGAACTCAGAGGAAAGACTGGACAATGTAAGATGGACTACATCACCCAGAAGTGCCAGGAAGCTGTAGACAGGTTTATCCCGGCCCAAAAGGAGAAAATGAAAACCAACAAGAGAATCCATGGTTCATTCAGGCGTGTAAGGAAACAAAGCAATTAAGTACAAGTACACGGAGAAACTAGAGAACACAAGAGAGTAGGGAGGACATGGCGGAGGGCCAGGAATGAGTACCTCAGTGTGAGGAGAGAAGCAGAGAGACAGTATGAAAATGACATAGCAAGTAAAGCCAAGACCTAGCCAAAACTGTTCTACGGCCACATCAGGAGGCAAACAACAGTGAAGGAACAAGTGACGAAATTGAGAAAAGGGGGAGAACAGTTACACAGAGAATGACAACGAGGTGTGTGAAGAACTCAACAAGATAATCCAGGAGGTCTTCACAATAGAGCAAAGAGAAGGAACTGTACTTCTAAGAGGGGAGGCGGTAAACCATGTAACCTTGGATGAATTTGAGCTTATTAGAGATGAGGTCAAAAGGAATCTGTTAGAGCTGAATGTGACAAAGGCTGTTGGGCCTGACAGAACCTCAACATGGATACTAAAAAGGGTGCAGAAGCATTAAGTGTGTCACTCATTATGGTGTATAACAGGTCACTGGAAACAGGAGACCTACCGGAAAGTTGGAAGACAGTTAATATAGTCCCAATTTACAAAAAGGGTGACTGGGAAAAGGCACTGACTACAGGCCAGTTTCCCTAACTTGTATACCATGCAAGGTGATGGAGAAGATGAGAAGAAAAGCTTGTAGAACATCTTGAAAGAAGGAGCTAGGTAATACACCACCAGCATGGGTTAAGGGATGGTAAATTGTGCCTCACGGATTTAATAGTCCAATTAAACCAATTACAATTATTAGTACAAAAATTTATATGACCAGGCGACAAAAGAGAAGAGTGGGCAGATTGCATTTTCTTAGACTGTCAGAAAGCCTTTGACACAGTACCCCACAAATAACTTACAAAAGTTGGAGAAACAGGCAAGAATAATAGGTAAGGTACTCCAGTAGATAAGGGAATATCTAGGCAACAGAAAATAACGAGTTACTGTGAGGGGAACACATCAGCTGTCACGGGCTGCTTCCTGGGGGAGGAGGCCTGGTTGAGGACCATGCCACGGGGACACTAAGCCCCGAAATCATTTCAAGATAACCTCAAGATGTGCTTCCCTCCGCAAGAGCGTGAAATACAAGATAAAGTTAGACGATGGGAACGGGGGAAAAGCGAGACGGACAGAAAGAGAAAGAAGATCATTTATTTAAAGCTGACATGAACACGTTAAGAGGTGAACATGTATCCGGATATTAGAGAATTTTATATTGAAAATTCTCTTCGGTTGCAAATAGCAAAAAGAAAACAACTTACACATCTCAGATGAGAATCAGAAAGCGCCAAATGTTAAACCAGTTTGAACCCTGTTTGATAACGTCATCCCTGACCTCTCTTTGGCAAACAAAACGGAAAAAATATATATTTTTTTTTTAACCAGATTTACACCTGCAAATATTGAAGGTAAAATCCGATAAGGCAATTACATTGTATATTTTTGGAAATCTCTATTGGACCGGTTTTTTAAAGGTTTTGATTGTTAGGACTTTATTGTTGTGGTTCATGTTGGGGAAGTTTGTAGTCTGGTTTTAGCTACGGTCGTGACTGTCTGTCTGTGCTATGTTGACGTCCAAACTGGCTGTGTGTATTGTTGATAGGGTGATTGTATGTATGTGCTTTGTTGATATCTTGACTGTCTGTGGTTGTATTAGTAACGTCTGGACTGTCTGTGCGTGTGTATTGTTGACGTCTGGACTGTCTGTGTGTGCATTGTTGACGTCTGAACTGTGTGTGTATTGTTGACGTCTGGACTGTCTGTGGTTGTATTATTGACGTCTGAACTGTCTGTGGTTGTATTATTGACGTCTGAACTGTCTGTGGTTGTATTATTGACGTCTGAACTGTCTGTGTGTGTATATTGTTGACGTCTGAACTGTCTGTGGCTGTATTGTTGACGTCTGGACTGTCTTTGTGTGTATTGTTGACATCTGGACTGTCTGTGTGTGTATTGTTAACATCTGGACTGTGTGTGTGTGAATTGTTGACGTCTGGACTGTCTGTGGCTGTATTGTTGACGTCGTGACTATGTTTGTGTGTTGTGTTGACGTCGTGACTATGTTTGTGTGTTGTGTTGACGTCGTGACTATGTTTGTGTGTTGTGTTGACGTCGTGACTATGTTTGTGTGTTGTGTTGACGTCGTGACTATGTTTGTGTGTTGTGTTGACGTCGTGACTATGTTTGTGTGTTGTGTTGACGTCGTGACTATGTTTGTGTGTTGTGTTGACGTCGTGACTATGTTTGTGTGTTGTGTTGACGTCGTGACTGTGTGTTATTTCTACCACAAGGCTGAAGGCGCTCCTGGATGACGACGAGGCTAGGGACCAGGAGGAGCTGAGGAGGAGGGCTCGTCTTCTACTTCAGGAACAGGTGAGTCTTCTGGTCTACTCTCCCCCTCTCTCTTACTCCTCTCCCATCCTCCTTCTCTCTCCCATTCTCCCTCCTCTCTCATCCTCCTTCAGTATATTTATTTGTTAGAATGCTGGTGGCTGACAAGTGAGGAGGCTTTATCAAATGTGTCTCAGGGCCTCATAACATCTGTCCTCCTCTGTGTCAGCTCAATCGTCATTTGGAGTTAAACGTCCGCTGTCACAGTCCTTTAAGATTGTATGATTGTGACAATCATACGTCAGTCCAAACACAATCTTTTATGTCTTACGTCAGTCCCATCACAATCTTTTTTGTCTTACGTCAGTTCAAACACAATCTTTTATGCATAAACCACAAATTACCCATAAACCTCAAGTCAATTGTATTAGGAAAACTCTTCCTCATGAAAGGATTCGAACCTTTGACCCCCCCAGGAGCTGAAAATCCACTGGCGAGTCCAATGCTCTGACCACCTGACCACACTGACTGTTCAAAAGTCATTGGCAGCCGAGGCTATATTCCCAACGACCCGACAACACTTAGTGAGGTGCACAGATACCATATACCAGTTGATTGACAGTTGAGAGGCGGGACCAAAGAGCCAGAGCTCAACCCCCGCAAGCACAATTAGGTGAGTACAGACCACAGTTCAATTTCAAGTCACATCTAAAGAAAACGTGAGCTTCAAATGTACGATATACTTGCCTAAACCACAAGTCAATTGTATTAGGAAAACTCTTCCTCATGTAAGTGCCTCTTCTTTATGAGGAAGAGTTTTCCTAATACACTTTCATGTGTATTTGAGAGGACTGGCAGCCAGGGGCCAAATTCACGAAGCAGTTACGCAAGCACTTACGAACCTGTACATCTTTTCTCAATCTTTGGCGGCTTTGTTTACAATTATTAAGCAGTTAATGAGCTCCGAAGCACCAGGAGGCTATTTATAACAATAACAACAGTTGATTGGCAAGTTTTCATGCTTGTAAATTATTTAATAAATGTAACCAAAGCCGTCAAAAATTGAGGAAAGATGTACACGTTAACAAATCCACAAGGGCCGTGTCGAGGATTCGAACCTGCGTCCGGGAGCATCCCAGACCCTGCCTTAATCGACATGATAAAAGAGTTGAATCCGAAGTTCGACTGAACTTACTGGCTCCCGGACGCAGGTTCGAATCCTCGTCACGGCCCTTGTGGATTTGTTCATTTGATGCATCACGTCATTGTAATTTCTGTGTGTAATGTACACGGTCGTAAGTACTTGCGTAACGGCTTTGTGAATCTGGCCCCAGGTATAGGGAAGGATTTCCGAAGTATTAGAGTAATTCGAGACCACCTTAATGTGGGTTATTGGGTATTAATGACATTGTGTTCTGTTTATATACACGTGCAACTGGATACTTCGGCGCATCGCACAAATGCTAATTGGAGAATGTTGATGATTATAGCCATTGTTCAGACATGTGCTTTATAATGTGTCATAAATAAACGAGCATAATACTTCCAGAATATTGTAGGATTTTCGTGTGTGGTTATTGATGACGCCATTAATATGTATCAATATTAGTCTTTCCAGATAACCGTGACTTAGACAGGAAAGAGCAATTGTACGCTAAGATGCAACGCAATATATCCTACGCTTAATCTTAGCGCTCACTCTGCAGGTAAAAGTGGAAAGCTCTTTTGGCGTATCTATAAGTCCTCCATGAGCCGGGGACTGCGTAAAAGCCTAGCCCAATATAAGGCTTAACGACCAGGTTAACTGAAAACCATTAAACACCTCTACCCCCCAACGTAAAATAAAGAGGAGTTATGAGAGAGAGGGAGAGATAGAGAGAGAAAGAGAGATAAAGAAGGGAAGCGAAGCAAGAAGGGATGAAACAGGGAGGGATTTGAAAGTTTACGGTGGGTGGGGGTCGAGGGGGGGAAAATATGGTAGAAAATGGAGGGAGAGTGAAGGAGACGAGGGAGACTGAGGTAAAGGTAAGAGAGAGAGATGAGGAGAATAAGTTTAGATTTAGGAAAGACCTGGGTAAATACTGGTTCGGTAACAAGGTTGTTGATTTGTGGAACCAATTGCCGCGTAACAGATTATAAGTAGGATCCCTTGATTGTTTCAAGTGTAGGTTAGACATATATATGAATGAGATTGGCTGGATATAAATTGAAGCTGCCTTGTATGGGCCAATAGGCCTTCTGCAGTTATCTTCATTCTTTTGTTCCATCAATATGTGCATTCATCTATCCATTAATTGTTCTATTCATTTATCCATCTTTCTTTCATTTATCCATCTTTCTTTCATTTATCCATCTTTCTATCTGTCTATCTAGATATCCATCCATTTACGTATTAATTCATCTACTCATCTATCCATTCATTTATCTATCAATCTCTCCGTCAACCCATTCTTTCATCTATACATCCATATCCCCCTTCATCCATATATCTATCCATCAGTCTCTATCAATCCATCTCTCATCTATCTATCTACTGTCTATCTGTCTCCCTGTACCTTTGTCTCTGTCTCATACAAAAGAATATTATTGTGTAATGTGTGGGAGGTTGACGCTGAGAGGAGCGTGTCAGCGTGAGACAGAACAGTCCCCCCTGTACACTGAGAGAGAGCATGGCTTCAGAAACCCTTCAAGCAGCTGGGGCGATCCTTTCTTTTATGTAAGTACGGGCTAATTATGTACAGCAGGACATTTTTGTTAATTTTCTCCGAGATCAGTGATTATGATGTATATTACTATATATTGTTTAGGTTGTTTTGAAAATATCCAGCTGTATAGCCGGCGGATAGTGCCAAAAATCGTCTTGTTGTGGGGGGAGGGGGGGGGGTGAATTTTTAAAATGTTTAAATTTTGTCCCGAGGGGCGAGTTTGACTATTATGCTGTTCTCATGTAAATCCTGACGACGTTCATCCCGGGCCCCAGACCATCTGACAGGCCTGGTCGAGGACCGGGCCGCGGGGACACTAAAGCCCCGAAATCATCTCAAGATAACCTCAAGATAGCCTCGTCCAGCATGACCTGACTGAGGCAACTACTGTAATAATATCGTAAGAAGTACGAAGGTTTAACTACTGGAGCAAGGGTCAGATAAATGATTGCAGGAGCATTAATGTACCTAACTGCTGCAAGAAATAACTTACAATAAGGAGGGAAAAGCATTTTTATAATAATTTGTTTTGTCAGGGAAGAGGCAGCCTTTGTGTATGTTAGGCTAGTACCTCAGGCTACCTGACGAGGCGAAGACGAACCCAACTGTACTACAGAGACCCATCAAATGTGCTCAGAGGGGAAATCAGAGAAATGGAGTGAGATAACTCTGAGTAACTGAGAATTAGAGTGTGTGTTGAGGACACCAGAGAGGGGAGCCGACCTGCCTCTTCCCCTCGTCATTATACAAGGAGAGGAACAATGACATATAAAAGGGTAGAGTTACGAGAGAGGGCGGCAGAAGAGGAACCACACAATACTCCAATAATGTAAACGAAACTAACAAGTGAAACAGAAAATGCAATCTTCCTAGCGGGGCCACATTAGTGTGGACATGTCATGTTATTGTTGTTTAAGATTCGCTACCTGGAACGAAATGTTCCAAGTAGCACGGGCTATGGTGAGCCCGTAGTGTCTTAGGGACATGTCAGTGTGGCTAGACCAAATGGATAGGGAAGTGAAGGAGAAGGAAGAGGAGGAGGAGGAGGTAGATAAGGATGAGGAGGAGGTAGATAAGAACGAGGAGGAGGTAGATAAGGATGAGGAGGTAGATAAGAACGAGGAGGAGGTAGATAAGGATGAGGAGGAGGTAGATGAGGATGAGGAGGAGGTAGATAAGGATGAGGAAGAGGAGGAGGAGGAGTAGGAAGGTGAGGATGAAAAGAGATGGGAGAGTGAGAAGATGCATGAGTAGATACCGTTCCAATGCGATCACAGGAGACACACATAAACATGATAACATCGGCAGCATATGGGACACTGGCAAATAAAAGAACATCATTTGGAAACTTAAATCAAGATTCCTTCAAGGCCCTCTACACAACATATGTTAGACCAATACTGGAATATGCAGCACCGGCATGGAATCCGCACCTTGTGAAGTATAAAATCAAAATGGAAAAAGAACAAAGGGTTGCAACAAGACTAGGGTCAGAGCTATGAGGATAGGCTCACGGAACTAAATCTCACACGACTATAGGCTAGAAGAAACAGGAAGGACATGATCACAACATACAAACTACTAAGAGGAATAGACAAGGTCGACAAAGAGAGTCTCGTTAGACTGAGAGAAAGTAGGACAACTATTATGTATTAGACCTACCATTAATGTATGATGACTTACTGTAAATATGTAGCTCCTGTAATAGCACTTTCTCTGTAACTAGCTGACATTGTAACTATAAGGTGTGAAGAATAGATGAAATTGTTTATGTAATAATCTAAGATGAGGTCTGATAAAGACCTTTTGTGCCCTCTGTAATGCTTTTTGCGCTACCGCTCACAGAATGAGTATGGGGTGCACAATAAACTAGCCGGCTTCGGCGGCAACAATCAATCAGGTGGAAGATGAAAACACAAATAAGCGGAAGGAATGTCAGGAACTACTAGTACCCTGTACGGCTGGTCAACAACTGGAATGTACTAAAAGTGGTGTGGAAGCCTCATTCATCCTCAACCTTACCACCTGTGTCGAGAAAAAATGTGAACGTTAAAATAGTTCAATTGTAACGCAAAAAAATACAATATGTTAAGCAGGCGGGGCATTAGAAGCTAGAATTATTTACTTCCCTGATAGGTTTAAGTACCGATAGGTAAGTAGAAGGAGAATGAGTAGTATGAGGGATGAGTAGAAGAAGAGGAGGAGGAGGAAGATGAAGAGGATGAGGAAGAGGATGAGAAACAGGAGGAGGAGGAGGAGGAAGAGGATGAGAAACAGGAGGTGGGTGAGGAAGAGGATGAGAAACAGGAGGAGGGTGAGGAAGAGGATGAGAAACAG